ATATATATATATATATATATATATATAAAGTATGGTATCATAATCAATGAATGCAAGTCTGCATTTTTTTCAGAATTATTTTTTTACTGAATTTTACAGCCCTTAAATCCATTTTAAGAATAGCATATAGAAAAACTATCTTATAATAAATTAATTTGCCAGTAATTATATATTAACTCACATTTAAATTGTTTGTGGAGAAAGCCGGTGCAATAATATGTCGATTATGAGTCCAATCATCACCATCAACCATTATCAGACCGTTCCCAAACATTGGTTTTCTGTCATTCCTGAACACATTAGGCTTTCCCCATTTCTTTCCCAGAGCTCCTGAACTCACCTTCTTAAGGAACTCAGGCTCTCCTACATACAAAAATGGCTCTGTCCCCAACCAATATATAAAAACCTTCCCTGCACAATAAACTTATATAATCAATGCAACCTTCTATCTACTTGTAGTCTACCATATGTTACACGCATAAAACTCACTAAAACTCACACACACACACACTGCACATATACATACATATATCTGTGTGTGTATTTATTTATTCTAATGAAAAATTTAATAAAATATTATGATACATTTTGTAAAAAAAGGTAGGCTAATTTCATTAGATTTATCCTTAATCTCACGTGTCACTCTTAATTTCTCAATATATATTACTAAAAAATTAGATAATACAACTAAATTATTAGACATTAATCAAAAGTAAATTATATAATCAAGATGAAAAAAATATTAGAAAATTTTTTTCTAAATATCTAGCGAAAAAGAAGATAAATATAACTATATGTGTGTGTGTACACACACAAAGGAAATCGGTATTTGGCAGAGGCCCAAGTACCGATTTACCATGTGCTTTGTCCCATGATGAGAGCCCGCGCTACTAGGGCTGTCAAAAAAGTCCGTTGTTCGCGAACAGTTCGTGTTCGGTTTGTCAATGAGTTCGTGTTTGATTCGTTCGTTTGATTCGTTCGATAAGTAAACGAGACGAACGTGAACAAATTTTTTTCGTTCGGTTAGTTAAATGCGTTCGTTCGTATTCTAATCGTTATTGTTCGAAATATAAAATAATTTAAAATAATTATATATAAAAAATTATGATATTTTAAAAAAATTAAATTTATAAATTATGATATATAATAAATTATTAAGAATAATATATTAATATATTAATATAGATATTATATATTTATATAATATAAGTTATATAATTAATATAATATATTAATTATATATATTAATATTAGAGATGTCAAACTTGCTCGTCGTTCGCGGACAACTCATGTTTGGCTTGTTCGTTAAGAAACGAACACGAACAATGACTTCACAAACAATTTCAAACACGAGTCTATTTCAAACAAACTAAATTTCAAACAAACCGAGCATGAACACAAGCTTTGTTCGTTCGTGTTCGGTTCGCTTACACCCCTACGCTCTACGTAAAAACTCACCATATGTTTTCCTCCATTTAGCAAAGTAAGGGAAGGCAGTAGCATGAATGTCGTGGCTGATACATGGTTCAGTCTGAACATCAACTCTCTTATACATCTCCATGAGATTCCCCAATGGGAAGTTAGGGGGAGGGCCATCAAAGCCGCCGCTACGCGAAAGCTGCCGCTTCACGACGATCGGAGATAACCAGAAGAGATATACTACTCTGCTGAAGAAGAAAATGAAGAAGAAGAGAAGGGTATGTCTGAAACCCAGCCAAAGAGCTTGCATGGTGAATTCAGCTGAGAAAACCTCCATTAAAGGCTAGCTCAAGCTGCTGTGAAGAATGTGAGGAAGAGGAGAATGATTTGATGAGTATTTATGGAGTAAGAGAGAGGGAGTTTTTGGTTTTGGTTGTTCAGACGATGGAGAAAAGAATTATTTTTAAATAAAGTCAGCGAAATAGATTGAGGAAGACATATTGGTAGAACCGGCTCTGCTCTGCGAAAAAATTGTGGGTGCGTGCAACGCACGACAGCCACTCGTAGTTGAGAGAATGTGGGGAAAGAGCACGTGCATGTTGCATGCACGTGACAGTCCGTAGTTGCGCTCCACGTGGGCGAAAAATTATTCCATACGGATAGCGCATGCAGAGATACATGCACACTGTCTGATCTCTACTGTCGATCACAACAAAACTGTATTTCGGTGTCTCTATTTTTCTCTTAAAAAAACAAAAAACAAAAAAACTGTAATCGTCGGCCGAGATTGGACGGCACATGCATCTCTGCATGTGTTGTGCGTATGAAATAATTTCTCCTGCAGGGGCACTTGCATTTGGATTTTGGTCTGATATCAATTTTTTTGTATTTTTAATTTTTGTTTAAAGGCTAGTTTTAAAAAAATTTGAAATCTATTAAAAGAATAGAGAAAAAAATTTGACGGCACAGAAATATTATGATTATTTTTGTTAATTTTATTGTTTCTTATGGTTGTTTTCTATGTTGAATATTAATGTTTTGATGATGACACTTGCGTAGAAAATAATAAAAAATAATTTATTTTTTTAGAAGAATTTTTATGTCCAAGAATTTTTTTTGAGGATTTTAGATTTTATATTTTAAATTTATGAGGTGCAATCAAATTGGCTTGTACATTTCAAGATTCATGAACATCTTATTTTTTTTAAGTATTTACATGCAAATATGTTAATGCATGCATGTATCAATGTATGCATGTGTGTGTGTGTGTTGAGCAAATAGTTAATCTATTGATAAAAAATTAGATTTACAACCTTGAGATGGGGGACATCCAACAAATTCTCATACAAAAGAAAAGAGAGAGGAGGGGGGAAGAAGTTACACAGACACAATCACTTGCTCTGAAAATTCTAGCAAGTAAGCTAGCAGGTCTATTTCCATCCCTATGAATGAATAGGAAGGTTAGTTGTAGGAATGGCCCGATGGAGTTGATTTCCTTAATCCGGTTTGAAAGATACCAGGGGGCTCTCCCTATTGAGCAAAATTTGCACCAATATCAAGAAATCCACTTCAACAAGTAGGTGAGACCAATTCTTCAAGATAACATACTTGATAGCCCAATACACAACAACTGCTTCAGCCTTCGACGCATCATGCATTGAGACTGGAGATTGAAAGGAGAGCAAGCGCCTGGCACTATGGTCTCTGAAAACACCACCTACACCTACATCTGTCTCAGAGAAGCTCCCATCAGTGTTAAATTTGATCCACATATGAGTTGGTTTCCTCCAAAAAAACAAAAGAAGTGAGGCAAGGAATGTAGTATGTTGTTTAGGAATATGGAGCCTACAGACATCAGGGAACTGTTTGTACCGAATAAGCTTTGACAGAAAAGCCCTGCAGGTGAAAACCACTTGCTTCACAGAGATAATGCCTTCCTAAAACTTCCTTTGATTTCTTATCATCCAGATAAACCATGCTACTACACATGGAATAACACCCAGCATGACATGAGCTAGTCCCTCTAGCAGCTTTTCAAGGTTTGTCATTACATTTGAAGAGTATTGATGTCAAGCATATGAAGAAAGGCAGTCCAGACACTTTGCGCAAGATTACAACTGAAGAAAAGATGATCAATAGACTCCTCAGCAACATTACAAAGAAGGCACCTAGAGGGCCCTCTTAAAGCCATCTTTAATTTTTTATTTGTTGGCAATAAATCTGAGAATATACTCTAGCAGAAGAAATACATGGATGTGGTCAAGAACTTGTTCCAGATGCCCACACCACAATGAACACAATTCCAATTATAGTTCTTAGTGTAGATAACTTTAGTTAAACTTTGAGTTCTAGTGGCCTTAATAATAAGCTTGTCCTTTTAATTTATATTGAAGTGCATTCTGGTAATTTGAGCGATTTTGTCTTGCTTCAGTAGTGAGTTCAATACATCAATGGACCATTGATTATCCACCCAACAATTAGAGACTTTCATTTTTGGATTGACCAAAATGGAAGGCTTAGGTTGCAACCTACCTTCCAAACACCAGTTGTCCAGCCAAAATGATATATTATCATTTCCTATGTCCCAAATAAATAAATCATCTGATTTTTCCTTAACCTTCAGTAAATTGACCCAAACTCTGAAGTCTCCTAGCTTCCTGC